GCCGTCCTTCAGTCACACATCAATCTTCTATTCTGTAATCTCCCGGCAGATTAAAATGTCTGTGAACAAAAAGATCAATGAAGGCTACTGTTGGACATCATTTATAAACCTGTACATCGACACTAAAAACAAGAAAGGAGCCCAGAGCTCATCCTTGTTGTACCCCGACGCTGTAGTGGATCTGACACTCAAACAGCAGAACCTCACCAGAGGTCTTCCTCTTTTAATCTGCTTCTCCGTTTCACCAAAAGACTAAAATTGAGTTCCTTTTAAATATTCTTATAGTTATGAAGGAGAAAAAAAAAGTTGTACCTGCACAAAACCCCCATAACATCACAGGTAACTTCAAGTTAATTCGAAAGATTAACGTTCGCTCTGAATTCAAAATGGTTCATTTTTGAGGATTAAAAAAACTGATTAAAAACACAACACTTTTCAACACTTTTGACAATTTAATTATTGCCATCTATGTTACAACCGTTTGACGTACCCTGGATCATTTAGCGCACCACCCTCACATACATTTCTGCCACTTCCTCATCCATTGCCTGTGTTCTTTACCTCGATTTTCCTGTTCCTACAGAAACAGCAGAACCAGCCGAGCTTGTTGTTATTCAACACAGGTGTTTGGAGCTGTTTACCATGAGGAGGTCAAATCTGGATAGATACTGAACAAGTAAGACTGTTGGTTAAGTAGTAGTATATTAGCACTACTCGAAATGTACTAATGGTTGTCCCTCTGTCGCCATCTCTGTGACCAAAGATTTTTAATAAAACTGTTCCGTTCAGGAGCTTCAGTTAAGACAAGGGGCAGAAGACAAAAAAATGATAAAAAATAACTGACGGACATTTTTGTATCTCTATCTATCACCAAAGCAGGAATCTCAAACTTGTGGCCTAGGACCAATTCCGGTCCACAAACCCCCCAAAATTCCACACACAACCAGATGTCAATAATAATCTACTAATTAATAACTACAATTAATGTCATTTCTAAATTTTATTTTCAGTAGGGTTGACCAAAGATATCGTCCCAACATTAGCATATTTATGTAATATCTGTAGGAATTGTTGTCTGTTTTTCCTCCGGTGATGAAAATCAGATAACACAACGTTCTGGGATATCACCTCAATTTTCTGGAAGAAAAAACGCTGCATATTTCGGTATCTTGATATCAGAATCGGAAATTAAGTGTTGGGACAATATCGACCGATCAGATATCGGCAAAGGTTAACGTCGGACATCCCCAATTTTCAGTATATTTATTTGTTACAATTATTAAAAGTGGCTTCACTTATTTAAGGTAGAGCAAAAATATATTTGTTCTGCATTTTTTTCTAAAACATCTGTTTGTTTGTTTTTTGCCGTTGGTCATAAGGTTTCTTTCCCTCCGATGATAGCAGTTTTTTTTTTTTCATTCACTCCACCTGCAGTGATGAACAGGACACCTCAACACAGTCATCTCCATAGACGCCTGCAGCACCGGGTCTCTATTGGCCTATCAGCTTGTTATGTGTGAGTAATGGCCGGGTCTGCCTGGCCCAAGGGAACTGAGGCAGGTTGTGCTTAGTTTGAGCTGTGAAATATGACACTCTCTCTTGCAGAGTAATAACGCTGCTCTGTTTCTAACCACCAGGGAAACCTGTTTGTTTCTTCATGGCAAAGAGGACGGTGTGGCATCAGTCTTACACTAACTAATTATTTTCTGTCATGCCCCCCCTTGAGGACAGAAATGTTTTTACACCCCCCTGACCAAAACCCCCGCAATTTGAAATACTTTTGAGAACCTGATAACATGTATATTTTTAACTGTGCAAACCACTGTATGAGTTGCTGCCACCTAGTGACTGGAGGCTTGTTGTCATTCAAGCATTACAGCAGTGGCATATTCCATTCTCACCACCGCCCCTGGCACCTCGCCGTGCCCGCCCATGGGATCCCGCCCACTATTTGAGAAGTACTGCATTAATTGTATGTATGTTTTTGAGACGTTATCTCTTGATCAAAGAACGCAAGTCATTTACAGACAGTGGGTCGGAGGTTCTTAAAGGTACGTCATTGTGACCCACGTTGAGAACTGACCATATCAACCACAGAGTGACATTCAATGTTTCAAATATTTTATACGCTGGTGTTGTGTTGGCATAAGTCCTGCATGACATGACAGCAGAAGCAGGAAGTTTTGGTCATGACGACTATTGTTACAGTCTGTGTTATCAGATCTCCTGTTTAGAATGTAGATCTGAAAACTGAGAGATCAAATCTAACCGAAGATCCTTTTCTGAAAACGGCTACGAGGCATCCACAGTGTTTGGATTTGTCTTGCGCATATAACATTTTTCGGACCTTGAAAAACATTGGAACTGCGGCTTTAATTTTAGATGCAACAGTTTCCATAAAATATGTTTTTTCTTCCAATGTTTAATGTCGGTAGAATCCTGTTAAATTGACTCAGTGTCAGAGGTTGAGCGTTTTATGAAATATAATTGCATTTACACTGAAGAGAGACATAACAGTCCTTATAAAAGGGTTCCATGACTGATTGACAGCTGAGTCATCCAGTAGCATTCTGACGACAGTAAAGTGACACTGACATCAGGTTGTTGTTACGTCACGTGCTGGGATTCAGTGATTCAGGAGGATTTAAAATGGCCTTCAAAAATCATAAAATATTCTTCCCAATTGAAAATTAGTCCACGATTTAAAGGACTGTAATATATATATATATATATTTTTTTTCTCCAGCTGTTTTCATGTTAACTCTGGCGATGTTGACGGTCTTCGGAGTCGTGTTGCTCGTGACCCGTGACCATGAACATGTACTGTACAACGTCTCTCTTCTCCAGGAAATGCAATCAGAAATGACCAAACTGACGTTGTGTCTGATGGAGGAAGACCTTGAACTAACTCACTGTTAGAGCTGAAGAAAATTTCACACGCACTTAGCAACAAACCGGTCGCTTTCATGACAACATGAAGACGTCCATTTATTTGTTCATTCATTCATGGGCTGGAGCCAATCCCAGCAGTCGTTAAGTGAGGGCGTGGCACATTCTGAACAGTTCAGCAGATAATCACATGGTATAAAAAAATCATTCACACTACCATCCACATGTATTAATTTAGGGTGAACCATTAGGAAACCGGAGTTAAAAAATTTAAAAAAGCAAACAACAACAGATTATCACTGGGATCAAACGACTCTCGTTTTCTCATTGTAAGGCAATGGTAGTAACCACTGTACTTGATTGTGACTCAACCAGTTAAAAAAAATCATCAGTTTTTTTAAAACCTCAGAAATGGCTTTGTTTGATTCTCACTATCAGTCTGTGTAATAATAATAATAATAATAATAATAATAATAATAATAATAATAATAATAATAATCATAATAATAATAATAATAATAATGTGTTACCTGTCGTGACTCCATCCATAGTCTTGGTACCTGGAAGAAAATGAATTGATCAAAAACAGAAAAAAATAATTTATTAACAATAATTCTTATATTTATTTATTTATTTTGGCTCTCTATTTTCAGATACAAGGATCTTCCAGCAGGATCATTGACATTCAGCACCCACCAACAAACATGACCCCATCTTTCGTCATCTCCGCGGCTCCAGTCACTCCCAGCTTGGTTTTCTCCGCCGCCGCCACGACCCCATCCTTGGCTTTAGAGAAACCCTTCTTGAACGCGTCCATGCTTCTCCCAGTGCCTCCCTGATCACACACACGCACAGCGCCTGTGACAATGTCAAAGCAGGAACAATGAGACGATGATTACCGGTGACAGTACAGTCACAAAACACAACACAACACACACACACACACACACGCCACGGTGACACCACGGTGCCTCCGCCCTGACAGCTCTGTTCATCCTGTCGAACCCGCTGACATTCCGTGTCCACCTGTAGGATCCGCTCCCGGTGGAGCTGCTCGTTTAAAGGTGGGTTTAAAGGTTGTTTTTTTTAAGAAACAAAAAACATCGAGCTATTGAAGGAAAACTGGGGGAAATTAATTGGCTAAAACATTTATAAATTACGAACAGTAAGAGACAACAACAACAAAAAATCCCAGTCACAGCCGTGGCTGTGGTTTACGCACCTGTTTGCTCTAACTTCCTCCGACAAAGACAGAGAGTGTGTTCCGGGATGACAGCAGAAAGGATTTTGACCCAGAAAGACGAAAAACCGGTCTACGGTCTCCAAACTACTACTGGTGATGACGGCGAGAGGGAGGGAGAGACATAGAAAGACGAGAGAGAGAGAGGGAGAGAGAGAGGGAGAGATGGACAGACGGTCCTCGGGGTGGACAGACGCCTCCCACGCCTCCGTGACAGAGAAGGATCTGCAGTTCCGAGCATTGACTCATGTAAACACACCAAGCCCCTGATGCATTCATTAAAATATATTAAAAGAGTCAGTCATTTTTAAAATGGTGGGTTGTGATCCAAAAGTGGATGACGAGGGAGTCTTCGGTCACAACACTGGATCGGGCTGCATTTACGGCTAATGTGACCAATATGGGCAGCGACCCAGAGAGGCTTCTTATCATCAAAACATGATCTCAGTAAAAGATTGTTTTTAATTGAGGCTATTGTTTACACCATTGTTTCCCAAAGACTGGTTCCCGACCCTTAGGTGGGTCGCAAGAGTTTTTTTTTCTCGCATCATGTTTTCCAGGATTTTGCAAATAATGGGTCGCAAAGGTTTGTGACTTTTAAAATATGGGTCCCCAGAAAAAAAAAAGTTTGAGAAACACTGGTTTACGCCAACGTGCGTTTTCATGTCAGGTCACGTGGTCAACCTCCATCCTCCGTTTCACACAGGCTGTGGGAGGACGGTGGAGAAGGTGAGGGACGGGTTTCCCTTGACACCTGGACTCTCTTGTCCTCTCTTGTCCAGTGGGTTTCGTTAATTGTGCAACGTTTACGTTTAGTTAGTTAAAGCAGCGGTCCCCAACCCCCTTTTTTGTACCAAGAACTGGTCTGCTGGTATCAACTGTTAAATCAAAGTATTCTTAGTATCAAAGTCTGAATGACCTTTGACCTGTTGTTCTGAAACACAGATTATCTTTGAATAAAAACAGTAGAGGGATATGACTGGATTGTGTGAACAATGTGTTCCTCGGACCAGGGGTTGGGCACCACCGAGTTACAGCATCTAATTCACTCATTCTTTCATGATGTGAAGTATGTTTGAATTTTTGATTTTTTTTAAAAAAACAGTTGCATGTAGCAATTCACTGAAACATTATGTTTTTTAAATCCTAAGAAGTTCAGAGTTGGACGACCGGACAACCGGACGACTGGACGACTGGCTGACTGGACGACTGGACGACCGGACGACTGGACAACCGGACGACTTGACGATTGGACGACTGGACGACTGGATGACGGGACGACCGGACGACCGGATGACTGGACGACTGGACGACTGGACAACCGGACGACTTGACGATTGGACGACTGGACGACTGGATGACTGGACGACCGGACGACTTGACGATTGGACGACTGGACGACTGGACAACCGGACGACTTGACGATTGGACGACTGGACGACTGGAGACTGGACCTGCTGGGTTTCGTGCAGATGTTTTCACCTTCATCTGAGAGGCTCCTTCAACTGAAAAACTCCTGGTATTTTTTAGCTTCTAAAGAGTAAATACCTGAATAGATTGTTGTTATAAAGAAACAGTACAGGTCATCTGCCCCCTGACTCAGAGGATAAGAGTTCACCTGAGTTTAGGTGTGGATTGGACAGGGAGTGAAGGTCTGAGATGGTGTGTTAGCGCCACCTGGAGGGACACAGCTGACTGTAGAGAAAAACAAACACAGACAGAGAGAACATGGAAACTCACTACAGAAAAGACCACCAGCTACTAGTTACCAGTCACTAGTTACCAGTTAACACCTGGGATCAAAACCCGTGAACTGTAACTGTAATACCACTGTTTTACCACGGTGTTATTAACACCATTACAATAACAGGCAACCTGTCAAAGATCCTCTACAACAGCACCACACAGTGGTTACTATGTAGTGTTACATATGTGATTGAAGAGGGTCAAATTAAATGCAGGTTTAATTGAAACATTAATTCCTAGCTTTTTCAAAAACTGTTTAAAGACATTTATGATCAACAAATAAAGTGCAGGAAACTTTAATGAACAAAAACACGAACAACAACTCCGTTTCAGAGAGCCCTCCCTTTCTTTACATTTAACATTACTGTCAACGTCGTGGGCGAAAACACGCGTCTGTTAACAGGAACCTACACATGAACACCCACTCACGTTGACGACGTACAGTGATCTGCCCACAGCATGTAGGTGTGGAGAGGTCTTCACAAACACGAGTCGACTCAGCGCATCTGCTGCCGAACCACAAATTAGCGTCAGTGTAATTGTACAGGACAACAGTGGTGAGCTGCCCAGTGTTCCCCCACATGTGAGTCACATGTTCTCAGCAGCTGCATCAGCAGCATCACTGTGGTGTTTTGTTTTCTCCTCCATTACAGGTTAAAAGTCAAGATGAGACTGAGTCACGGGTAGTGTCTGTCCAAGCATCTCACCAATAAGACGACTTTGTCTTGTTCTTCTTCTTAAGTGTTGTTTTTTAAAAATCAAAAATCTTCTTTTTCACAACTTCTGGCTGGAGCTTTGTTTCCACAGGATCACAAAAATATTGACATATTTGAACAACAGTGGGCGCTCATGAGCATCTGTTGTGGCTGACGAATGAACTGCATCTTGCACAGTTCCTAAATTGGTTTGTTGATTCTGTGTGTTTTGCAGTTTTACACCGACCGTAAACAAAGTGTTATTTTATAAATCAAATCTTATACAGTGCCAAGTGAGTGGCTTTGATCTAAAATTTGAACAGCTCCTAAATTAATTTGTTGATTGGCACTTTACAGTTTTTACACCTACTGTTAAAAAAGTGTTGTTTTAAAAATCAAAAATCTTCTTCTGCTTTGTCTTCCTCCTCCTCTTTCTTCTTCATCATCTTTTTTTCAATAGAACTTTCTGACTCATCTTTTTGTATTAGAAGCTCTGAAAGCCTGCTGGTTGGTGCCATACTCTGAGACCCCTGCTGCCCCCTAATGGTTGAGCTGATGAGGCCTGAACTGATAGAACACTGGTCTTTGAGCATCAGTTTTACAGATTAGATGATGTGATCAGTAGATTTTAATATGTATATAATGTGTTCCTTTAGGCAAATGAAGTTAAAATCATAGTCAGTTTAAAGTCTCCTCAATGATGTTTGATCTCAGTCAGTTCAGCTTTAATGAGACCAGTCTCAAAAGAAAACAGGAAATACAAGTTTCACAGCAGAGTTTTCTAGTTGTTGTTTTTTTTTTTTAATCAGCTCTGCTCTGCTGCGACTCTCTGTGTTCACTCCCACACAGACACAAACCTTATTTTGAAGAAAGTTGGTCCGGTTTTTATAGAGTTCCTTCAAAACAATTATTAAAGTTAGGTCATATTCAGGCGAGCGAACAGAAAAAAAAAGACATTTCATTGACCCACAATAGTTTCTAATCACCACTTTATATTTCTGTTGACTCCTTTAAATTATTCCCAAAAAAATGTGGTTCATAATTTTCATGAAAAATTTAAATTCTGGAGGGAAAAATAAGAAAAGAGATTGGTGCCATTTTGTCACTGGTATAATTGCTGGTGTATAAACGGTAAATAAAAAATAACAGTTGTTCAACAGTCTTTGGTGGTCAATTACATTAACTCCACTCTTTACGATGCAACACGGACCAGGGATTAGTTAATGACTTTTTAGGCTCACTAATGCTCCCTGTGGAGGGGAAGGAGAAGAAGATGAGTCATTCTTTATTGTGTTTTTTTTTTTTTAATCTGTTTTCAAGCCTGATGGCACTGTGCTAATTTACCTGTACAACCTGCAGTAGGTCAGTGTGTAAAAAACAATGAATCACCGATGAGTCAGATCGTGGAGGTTTATTGAACATTTATGTAAAAACATGTTGTTGTGTTAGTGTTGCCTCAGTAACATTAGGCTAAAGACACTACAGGACACAGTCATTCATGCACTTGACGTAATGTATTGAAGGACATCCTGGTACAACGTAACAAACAACGTAAGTTCGTTCCCAAGTTTGTCAGTCTTGTGTGTAACTGCAACATCTGTTGTTTTAACAAATACGTGCAAACTAATTCAACAAAGTATATGTATGTATTTACTTCATATAATATGATGTAAGAGAGAGAAAAAAAGTTGATCAGAAAAAATCAACTATTTAAAAGCCCCAAAAACAAGTCTACATTTTGTAAAAAAAAACAGGAGAGAAAAAAAGTTGATCAGAAAAAAATCAACTATTTAAAAGCGCCAAAAACAAGAGTCTACATTTTGTAAAAAAAAAAACATATATGTATATATGTGTATATATGGATGTATATTTATGTATATATATATGCATATACACACACACATATATATATATATACATACATATGTGCACATATATAATGTAGATATCTTTTTATATATGTACATATATACATAAATATATGCATATACATATATAAACTGTAAATTCAGATATATATTAGCCATTTCAGGCGTTAACCAATAGTAGTCATAATAGTTCCTTAAAACATGTAAAAACAAGGAGCAACACAATGAATAGAAGGTGATAAAATATAGTGATCAAGAAAATGTTAATCTGTCAATTTTGGGTCTTAAGGCATCAAATAAAACCTTTTCTAAACGACTTCATGTCCTTGTCCTGGCTCGTCTTAGACCAAGTCCTCTTCTCTGTCCTTCACTGCTCTGTGAGAACAGAAACCTCCATAATTGGTTGTTTGCTACCGTCTGGTTCTTCAGTATCACTGATGTATGAGCTTGGTCAGCAGTAGTGACGGGTCAGAGTTGGAGCAGCAGAGTGTGTAGTTTGATGATTGGAGGTGGTTTTTCTCTGGGGATGTTCAGAGGATGTAGTGGAGCAAAGAAAGATGACTCTGGGTTTGATTTAGTTTCCTACTTCAGACCAGACTCACAGTGGATTTATATATATATATATATGTATGTATGTATATATATATGTATATATATATATATATATTTACTGCAGCTTCTCCCTCAGCTTCCTAGCGTATTCACTTGCTTCACTGAGGATCGTTGATATAGCTACAATATGATATGTTTATGCGATGTATGTAAAAAAAACATCATTTTATTATTATTTGTGACATTTCTCAAATTTCAGGAACTTTCTGACACCATAAGGCGATGTGGTAATACTGCTCTCTAGCGGCGATTATCACTGGTCTGAAGTTGCATTTGAACTCCGTGTCTAAAGGTAATCACACATAGTTGTAAGCATTGATGAAATGTTGAAATGTGACTCTATGTATGTACATTTTCTGGCCTCTCTAAATATAATAACATAATATCTGGTATCAAACAAAATATGAATAAATGAGTGCAACACATGCAGTGACATGATATAGGTATATAAATAATAATAAATACCAATTTGGCAACCACTGACTGAAAGACTGAACCGTGAATAATACATACACATAAAACACACATAAATAAACATACAGTATAACAAACCTCAGTATATTTCATTGAAGTGCCACTAAACCTCCAATAGGTGTCAGCATAGCATTGTCTTAACAGTCGTTCAAGCGGAGGCCTTGTGATTGGCAGTACTTCCGGTGTGTATTTCACGTTCGTTTTCAGTGAAAAGTTTTACTGTGTTTAACGTAAGTTGAGAAATGATGTTAGCAAAAAGTGTGCTGAGGCAGAGTAAGGCTAACAGCCATACACGAGTCATCCTGAGAACATTAGCAGGGTAAATGACAACAGGCTTAAACAGAGGCCTCTCACACAGGCCGGGTCTTAGTCAGGTAAGAATGGGTGGTGCTGCATTAAAATGCTTCTAGAAACATTCTAGAAACAAAGTCTATGGAAGAAACAATACATTGTTATTGTTCAGAAATACAGCATTCTGGGTGTGAGTTGGCTCAGTGGGTATTGAGTGTTTGGCTCGATTTCGGGGAAATAACGCAGTTTGACAAAAATATATTAGCAACCAAACATGCAGAGGATTGCAACATTTCTGGTGCCGTACTTTTCCATACAAGTGTAGGTACCAATAATGGAGCACTCCCTTTTGTTCCTTGCCTAGTCAAAAAGTACTATATATTTCTGAAAACTTTGATTTGTTTTGTTGATGTTTATACAAAGTCGACCAACATTTAGAAAAGAGTTTGCTGACAGATGATTCACTTCCATTTTCTAATTCACTTTTTCCTTCAAAACTATCTTCTATTTTTCTTTAGGTGACGCATGGGCCACACCAGTGACTAACACGCTTCATTTCACTGCATTTACCTGGCCGTGGTCCACAGACTGAATCATCACAAACCGGGCAGAGTATGGAGCAAGAAATGATTGCCGATGGTCCACAGACTGAATCATCAGAGTATGGAGCAAGAAATGATTGCCGGCTGATTAGTCACACTCGCTGGGCGTAGGGTGAGTTCCTGATCCTGAAGGTGGGTGCAGCTGCAGGAGGTGAAGACATGTTCTTCTGAATTGTGTCAGTAACTGCCCAGCTACGCTAGGCTGGTAAAAAAGGGTCTTATAAAGGGGTCAAACTTGGGTTTAAAACACTGGTGTGGCTTAAAATAATTCATGTATTTTGGCTTTGAGTACCTCATGGATAATGTACATCCTTTAGGCAACACAGCTACATTTGTGTGAACTTGATATTTCAGATGACACATTAATGTTGATGACTCATCCAGGATACAAGCTAATGTTTTTCTAAGGGCGTGACTAATTTGCCTGTAATAGGGATAAATATGACCACGGAGTGACAGATGATGCTGCAAATCAAACCTTGACTTACAAAATAACATTCAATATCAATGTTCTGATTTGTCCTTCAGAAACACGTTTCTGAAGCCATGGATACACAGGAAACAGATTAGTTTTGTTTCTTTCGAATCACATAGAGACATTTGATTTATCCAAATGTTTGGTGGAGTCTTTGTCTGTTCATGTGGCTGTTGGTTTCACTGGCAGCCTGTGTAGGTTACACTCTGCCTTTAGTCCAATATAGAGGGTGGAGATAAATGAAGGAATAATGTTGTCATTTTACCTCCATCACTGTCGCTGTTAATATGAAAGTGGCCTGGACTAGTCAGGATGTTTTACAGCTTTTTTCATTTGGAGGTTGAAGCCAGTGTAGGGACTTCCTTTTTTTATTGAAGTATCACTAGATGGCGCCATACGACGCCAGGTGAATCACACGTAAGCGACAGAGCAGCAGCTACGCAGACACCTTAAGATTATGGTAGGATTTTATTTTATTTAATTAGTTAAAAGTTCAGAGCAAATCACAGAACTGCAGTTTGACTCTTACCATAAACAGTAAACCAGAGGGAAGGTTTGGGAAATGAAAAGAATGTTTGAGCGCACGTCAACATGTGATGTGACTAAAAGAATGTTTATGTTCCTTTGTTGATATTTATTATCTTTATAAATCTCTCTATACATCGCAGAAGGATTTTCACAAAACAGGAGAAGAGAAAAAGAGCTGCAACATGAACAAAAATAATTCTTTCACATCATGTGATCCCAAAGTGGTTTTATTTGTAAGGAGAAAGAGACACACGATGTGGAAATTTTGCTTGAAAAATTGTGACGTAGCCCCAAAAATATTTTCAGGCATCCAAAACACAGGATTATTATTATTCAGAGAAAATCTGAATAATAGGGAAAACTCTACAGTTAGAGTAGAGTAGGAAAAATGTTTTAAAGTTTTATGCTTATATATGCAATATTATAATCTCCCAGCTCTTGTTATAAAATCTGACATATTTTTTTAAAAAGAAATAGCTTTGCGTTGACAACATTGCGATGTGTTGGGAATTAAGTTTCACTTTGACAACAGTAAATAGCCTCACATGATCATTTTGTGAAGGCTTTTCAGAAGGGTCATATCACATTAGTGCCACACGCTTGTAGCGATTCAGGCTTTGCATTGAAATTTGAGTGACAAACTAGCAGAACCTGCCGTGAAACCTCATCTAAATATTCACCTGGAAAACACACGCTGCTGAGGCCCTGGCTGAACTTATAACTCCAGGCTGCGGTTACTGGAACTGGTGCGTTCAGGTGTTCTAAGGACAGGATGTTTGTCGAGTAGTGTTAACGTAAAGTCAGGAGGCTCAAGGTCTCAAGGTTTCAAGTCTCTTTTCAAGTCTCTAATGTCAAGTCAACAACAACAAAAAAGCTCACTTTAGCTTCAATCTTTAGGATTTTGGGTCTTAATTAAAGTGACTAGAATAATCGAAATGCAGGCCATGTTGAGTACCAAAGAAATCTGAGACTAGGTCACTGGAGAAAGATTTGGAGTGTTGTCCAGTGATATAAGGACTACAGGACCAGCTCTGGTCCAAATCACCTAGAAAAGGAAAGTACAGTTGAGGTCCGGTCCTCTGAGTTAAAAAAAAAGAAAATACAAAATTGATATTAAAAGTTAGATTTAGATCTGGGTTTATTCCGTAGTGTCTTAAACCAGACCATGACACAGACTGCTGGTTCACGCTGTTGCCCTTCTGTGTACTTGCGTCGGTCGTGCCTGTTCTGTGAAGTCCAGTTGTTAGAAGGAAGAGTCAAGGTTCAACTTTGTGTTGTCACCATCAACAACTGCTCAACGGCAGGTGTTGTACTTTTTACTCGTCGCCTTTTCTTTGCTTTTGTGAATACTTCTTGAAAGGTGTAGTGCGAATATGTCATAATACTCCAGGATGCGCCTGGATGGCCTTGAAAAAAAAAGAAGCACAACAGGCTGTCACCAGTTTGTATTCACGTGCACTCTGTGACAATCGAACCGGCTTTTCTTCTGCTGTCTGCAGTCACAGGGTCACAGAGGATCTGCTAACGAAGGTGGACTGGCTTAATGGATGGCTGAATGTACAGTGTAAACAGCTGGGCGGCCTCCGCTGTTGTTGTTGTATCCTGGTAACTTAGACAGAGAGCAGCATCTCGTAATTAGTAAGAGATGTCTTCTTAAAAACATTTTCCATCAAAGATAAGAGAACACAAAAGGACCTGAGATGGATGAAGAAAAAAGACTGGAACGCTTCCAAAGCAGCTAACATGCGAATAATCCAACAACTGTAGATTTGCAACGGAAAAACATCCATGTGGGCCAAGTGATAATCATCATCAGGAACTGACTGCCAAGAGCTTTACGACACTCAATCACAAGTTTTTCACAATGACAGTGCATTCATCAGACGTCTGTACAACCCTTGGACAACCTGTGGCACGACATTTGTTCCCGTTTTTTAGATTTCTTTGTGTGAAATGTGACGAGACACCGCAGGTACAGTTACAGTTCAGGTTACAATTAAATCCAAATGAAACTTTTTTTTTTTTAATTCTAAAATTGTGTTGAGCGTGCCATTACACGTTACAGAAACACGTAGTTCAACACAATACGCACATTCTTGCGTGGAACGGATCCGTGGCGTGCTGGAGGAAGGCCTGTGCAGCTCTCTCTGCCTCGGCTCTGTGGTTTCAAATACAGATTTCTGGCAGGAACAGAGGTATTCTCACGTTGGCCTGCTGCTCTACAGCGTCACTCACTGTTTCATAACAACATGTTTCACTTGTTTTCTCAACATTACCCCACAACATTGAAACCAGGACTTAAGGCAAAACAAGTCAAATCCTCAATCTGTGTGGTGTGAAATGGTTTATTAACACAGCCAGAGCTTGTGTTGCTTCATCTCAACCCTAATGATTTTATTTACAGCTGAAGTGTTTAGTGTCACTTCACAGTTGTCAACCGTAGGCCATGGCCTTCCCTGGAAAAGCACGGTCTACGGAACATCTGCTTTGGTCCAAGACCGTACACTGAAAGATGAGGTGCCGCAACCACGGGCTGTGCGTGGCTGTGTGTGCGTGCGCTAGTGTTGCTGTTGGAGCAAATCCAGGTGTGCAGATGGCCCTGGTTTGTGTTTGCACAGAACCAATGTAAGCCCCCGCTTCCCTAGTGACCATGACAAATCATATATACACACACATGCATGGACATACATTTGCACACACATGCAGCCATGCACTCTGACCTTTCTGAGTGAGGCTCCAGAGTGACCCTTTAATCGCCTCTCGCCTGACTGTGGAGCTGTATTTTCACCGAATGGCTAAATATGTGTATCCAAAAAAAAAAAAAAAAAATGCATAAAAGTTTTAAAGCATTTTCCAGACACATATATACTTTATTGGAATCTTAGACTACAGGCACTTTAGCAAAGTTGACAGTTTTAGTGGTTTCACAGTTATTATTGCAGATGCAATGAATATTGTTGACAATGGTAATTGATACAGTATATCTGGCAAGTGGATGCTGACAGAAACTGGAAGAAATGGTGAAGAGAGTGAGATGACTCCTCCGTGATCACTGTTACATTCGTAATAAGAGAATGAATGTGAAATTTAGACAAGGGAGTTCGGGGTTAACAAAATATTTTTCTAGACTGGTTAGTAATAGTGTTAAGCTGTGGGAAAGTTACACCGGGGGAGATATTAAGGGTGAGAACGGGAGAGAATAATTGTATCAAATTGTGTGAGCAGTTACCTTTGCTTGTATTGTGGTGTAATTAAATACAATTTGTTTTAGATTATTATTGTGAGACCGTGACTCTTCAAACCACAATAATTAAGTGTCCACTTTGAGTTGTTATCAGAACTAGAAAAGAGCTCTTTAATAACTGACATTCAATTTGCTCCTTTGTTATATATTTAAATATTTTCACCCTTCATATGTCAGAAAAGATATAAAAACATAGGATTTATGAATGTTTACAAAGATACAAAGAGCCACGCCAAGACTAAGGACAAGACTGTTCTTGTCACCGGACTAGGGGAGCGATGCTGCGCAGAAGCCATTTTGATTTGTTATTTATGTCTCCAATAAAACACGACAGGTTGTAAAGGTTTGTCTGTGGGACGGCCCACGGCTGTATCTGATCCTTGACGTCTTGACAGGTGTGTCCGTGCCTCTATATAAAGCTGCAGTTCTATTTATACGTGTTCTATTCAGACGTGTTGTTAGAGGTGTCAGCAGGACGGAGGTGCACCTGGGTACACCTGGGTACACCTGTAAACACTCGCTGGCCTGCTGCCACTACTATAGCAACAACAACAACAACACCGTGTCAGGAAAGCTGTTTCGGAGTTCCTGGGAGATCCTCTGGAATGCAAGCCCAAGTCTGCGCTGATGTTTGTCAGGAATGTTGTCCAGGCAACCAGAGGCCTTGAAGAGGGAAACCCCTTATCTGCTGACGTTGTCGTTCTAACGTTGTCATGGTTCAAAGGACGCTTAGGTAGAAACACAAAAAAGGAAAAGAGCCACAGACACACACCTTAAGGGCTGGTCTATATAGGTCTACGTTATGTGGATCACCATGGAGATAGTGTTTGGGTGGAGTGTACGTCCACAGGGCAGAAACAGTTGTAAAGCAGAGACAGTGGAAGG